TTCACCGTAATGTCATTGAGAGGACTGTAGTCTATGCAGGGTCTCAGTGACCCATCTTTCTTCCCTACGAAGAAAAAACCCGCCCCGGCTGGTGAGGATGAGGGGCGAATAATCCATGTCTTGAGTGAGGAGGAAATGTAGTCGTCCATTGCTGCTCTCTCCGGTCCTGAGATGGAATATAGTCTCCCTCTGGGGATGGGGGCTCCCGCTAGAAGGTCAATGGGGCAGTCGAAAGATCGGTGGGGAGGTACATTTATTAAAAACTTCCCTTAAATCGTGGTAGCATGGGGGTACCTTCAGCAGATCAGGATAATCAGGATGATCTACATCAGGGGTTTTCAAAGTGTGGGAAGGTGAGCCTCCCCTCAGAGAACATAAGAACAGCCGCGCCCCCCCCTCCCAATTATTATTGCTATTATTATTATTATTATTATTATTGTTGTTGTTGCTATAATGCATGGCTATTCAATTGCATTTCAAAGAGGTCCAGTAAGAGAACATGTCATTAAATGCTCTGTTTTCGCTGTCTACCTTTTTTGAGCACGCCATTTGAAATGACTCCGACTGTTTCTCTCTTCTTGTCTCGTCTCTGTGTGTGTGTTTGAATCTATCGTGCTGAGTCCCAGTCTTCTCTGATGTTACACTGCAACCTGCCTGTGAGACAAGAGTCCAACCACACACTCTGTGTGTCCAACACATGTCCTGCAATACACATGCTGCAGCTGCCCAGCTGCTCACTGTTTGTAAAAGTAAATAAATAAGTATTTTCATTTTCATTTCAATCTTATTTCGAACAGATTAAAAAAAAATTCAATAATTTACTTTCTTTACCCTGCTTCATAAACAATACTGACATCCCTGTGCTCCTCCGAGTCTGGGGGTCCGGGGATGTGAGGACAGCGCGAGGACACAGACAGGGAGGCTGCTTTACTTCATAAAGGAAATGGCGGTCAATATTAACAACGTAGGAGCTAAAACGCTTAATAACCTTCATTACGTGTTAAAGAAAGAACATAAGAAAGGTTGACAAAGATGGGGCTGTTAAATGGGCAGCGGAGCCGCTATGTGTAGAGAGAGAGCGAGGAGATGAGAGAGAGATGGACGAGCGAGAGACGCTTGAGGACTGGACGACGACGAGCCTCCGAGAATTGATGAGCAGAGGATAGAGAAGAGGAGAGGAGCAGAGAGAGTGATGAGACGAGATGAGGGAGAGAGAGAGAGAGAGAGGAAGAGGAGGAGAGAGAGGAGAGAGAGTAGGAGAGAGAGATGAGGAGGAGAGAGAGAGAGAGAGAGAGGGTCCACGGGGCTCCGCCTCCTGTCCTCACAACGCCTCACAGGCGCGCACAAGGGAGGCACGCCTCACACTTTGAAAACCGCTGATCTACAGCATTTCCAGTATGTTCAATCGGTGCATGAGCAGCTCGTGAATGTTTACATCTATTATTACAATCCTCCCCCAACCCCTTCATTTTCTCGTAGCGCCAGTCAATGTGGGGGTTGTGGTTGTGGCGCTGCCTCTCCTCCAGAGAAAGCCTGGTCCTACCCAGCTGCATGGGTTCCTCCGAAGCAAGCGGAGGCGCTGTCCTCCGGTGGTCCGAAGTCGTGGACTGGAAGGACCTTCCTGGTGGGAGGATTCTCAGAGGGAATCCCTGGAGACTGGGAGGACGGACACCTGTGCGCCGGTGCTCCCGCTCCCTCTCCCGAAGTCGGTTGTCGACCCGGATGGACACAGAGATGAGGGACTCTGGGTCCCTTCGCACCTTCAGAGGAGCCAGCTGGTCCTTTATCGGATCTGAAAGTCCAGTTATGAAAGCGTGGCGGAGCGCCGGAATGTTCCACCCGCTGTCCGCTGCCGCCGTGCGAAACTCGATGGCATAATAAACCACCTGAAGTCTTCTGCTGGCTTCTGTGGCAGGCGATGTGTGGTCGAGTATGCGGCTCATGGTGTCTGTGAAGTGCCACCCTTGCATAGTCTGATGAAAAGGCTCCTGGGTTGTGTTGGAAATGCAGGTCGCACTGCACAAGGAAGGCTCTGCCATTATTGGAGTCTACAGAGAATCTCTCCGGGAGAGCCAGACGCAATGATGAGGAGGCAGCTGGGATCGAGTCACCGGAGGAGCAGTCTGCAGATGGGCGATGAATTGATGCATGTGCGCCGTCAACTGTTGTATCTGTGAAGTGATGGAGTCTTGGAGCTTGGCCTGACGTCCTGCAAGATCTTTGACTCCTTGGCTGATTGAGCCTAGCTGCTCCTCAAGCTAGTAGATCTTGACGCCTTGGGCTGACAGAGCGGCGTGAAGTGTCTTTGGGTCGGCTGAGTCCATTGTCGCCAGTTCGTTCTGTCACAAACTTGAAACACAAGGTAGTAGGACTCAAATGCACGATCCCAGGAGACAGAGGTAAAGTATGAGAAAACTACTTTATTTCAAATAACAGGTCACAAAAAAGGATCTACGCTCTTGACGAGGTGAAAAAGGTTCAAAACAAAAGGTAACAAAAACAATTCCCTCAGAATGAGGATCAAAACTAATTATCAGAAAAATAGCGCAACTAAGAATGTCAGAAAGTATAAACAGAAAATCACTCACAAAATGAGGAACAAAACTTACTAGAAAAACTCGGGAGCATGAATCAGGCTTGAAACAAGAGGAAAAACGCTGGTACGCTGGCTACTGACATGAAGACAGGACAAGACGAACTGGCACAAGACAAGGGGAGGCTGGGGAATTTAAACAAGAGGTAACTGGGCACAGGTGGAAACAATCAGGAGTGGGGCTGACGCTGATGAGGGCAGGCACACACACAAGCATAGGGAGTCATGGGACCTGGAATCAGACACAAAGGGTGAGAACCAAAATAAACAGGAAGTGACAAGACAAAAATGACTTAGCAAAACATGACTAGAATAAGGTTGCGGTCGAATAGTCCATTTAGCTTAGGAACCTTCCTAACGGAGTGAAATGACCCGGAAGTCCCTCAGTGGCAGCCATGATAAGTGCCGTTCGAATTCTCTAAATTAAAAGGAAAGGAGGTTTCAAACTTCCTTTATAACCTCCTTTAGCTTAGGAACCACTCGACCTCCCTAACCGAAAGGAGAGGAGAACATGCTGCCCCACAATGCCTTGCGGCCGCCGCATTTGCCGTCACACAAACAGTCGGCCGTCACGGAAACAACCGATTGTGAACGAGAAATGATATCATGAAAGTTACGGTGCTTATTAAGCATTTTAAAACGTATGTGGTAAGTTGCCAAAGTGCTTTGTTTTGAACGTTCATCAGTATTATAATCAAAAAGAGAAATATGAACGTTAGTTTTTACTGAAATGATCAAATAAAGTCAACATTTCACAGTCTTTACTGAGCTGTGTGGGGGTTGTTCAACTTTTAAAAGATGTTTGAATGGTGATATACACAGTGATAGATGTTAAGGACTAACGTTTATAATAAATACATTTGTATTGATTTTAAGATCTTTTCATACAATCATACATATTGGGATCATTTGTATTAATGTGGACCGGAGGGAGAGGGTGACGAGCATAAGTTTCACTTTCCTTTTTTATTTAAATTCCAACTTTGGTCATGAAGAATATGTTTCTCTGTTGTCCCCGTTCATAAAGCATAAAACAACAGCATCAGAGCACGGTGCAGAGTCTCTAGATGAGTTTACAGTAGTCCCTCTACTCGTTCTTATTAAACATCCATGTTGTAGTCCGCTGTATAGAAAACTGTAGTTTCCATAGTTTCCCCACAGCAGCAGGCGCACATTTATGACCTCCGCTGGCGCATCATAAACACGTCGGATAGTGAAAGTGCAGCCGGATTCTCTAAAGCGCCGCAGTCTCTTCTCCTAAATCCTTTTGAATTCTCCTATCCACTATCCCTTAACCCTGTGACGTTTCACTCCGAGGTCAAGGAATAGACGATAGGGTTAGAACTTAGGAGCTGTTTTTTTGGAGTATTCGACCGCAACCTAACATTTTTGACGAGACCCAACAGTTGGAGGAGCCTGCGACTTAAGTTTTTCATTGCCATATCTACACTGTAGCTACCGTGCACATGACAATAAAGCCTTGAAATCTTCTACGTTATCCTTCTGGAAGGAGCAATGAGAAGACGGGTAGACTGTGGTCATAAAGGGATGGACATGGTCAGCAACAATACTTAAATTATTGTACTCAATTGGTACCCAGGGGGCCAAACTATGCCAATAAAATATCCCCCACACCATAACACCATCCCCACCAGCCTGAACCCTTGATACAAGGCCGGATGGATCCATGTTTTCATGTGGTTTAAGCCAAATTCTGATCCTACCTTCCGAATGTCCCAGCAGAAATCGAGACTCATCAGACCAGGCAACATTTTTTCAATCTTCTATTGTCCAGTTTCGGTGAGCCCGCGAAAATAGTAGCTTCAGTTTCCTGTTCTTATCTGACAGGAGGGGCACCCGGTGGGGTCTTCTCCTGCTGTAGCCCATCTGCTTCAAGGTTTCATGTGTTGTGCACTCAGAGATGGTCTTCTGCATGGTAGAGATGGTTGTGTGTGAAAATCCCAGTAGATCAGAAGTTTCTGAAATACTCAGACCAGTCTGTCACCAAAAGACTAAATAATCTTAACATCCTGTGGAAATTCTCAGCAGACATGCCTTGTTTTTTGACTGATATGTACCATCCAGTAAAACTTTATTGTAGATAGTTTTGTTTATAGCCTTTATTTATCCAGGTAAAAATCCCATTGAGATCAACGATCTCTTTTACAAGGGAGACCTGCCGACAAGGGAGACCTGCCGGTTAATTATTAATTATCATCATCACTCTTTTAACAGTCACTTCTGAGCAAATGGTTATCAACAGTTTCCTCTTGCACCTTATCCATGAGAGCTGTTATGACCTAATATATCATCCATTGGTGTCAAATGCTAAGAGGACTCCATAAAAAGAGAGAGAGGTGGTGGGGGGGGGGGGGGGCAGCTGTGAGGACTTAAATCCTGGTGTAACTTGTGCTTGTCATTCTGCATGCAATCTGAGACTCAGTGAATGCATTGTTCTTCTTTTGTATAAATCAGAACTTTTACCACTTGCATTATAGCAGTCATTTTAGTGACACTAAAGCGTGAATTAGCAGTTTTAGTCAACTGATTTACTCGCAGTAATTCCATTAAAATCTATCCGTGCTGTTTGTTTGGACATGGGGAAAAGCTGCAGAGTTAACAAGCTCTGCATTCTGTGTGTGTTGTTAGCCCTGGTTTCAATAGCAACCATCATCACGTTGTGGACTATTGCCCTGACAGGAGGAGACAATGGTGACGGGACAGCTCCTTGGGACAGGTAGGACATCCGATCCGACAAAATGTTTGACAAAGCTGTCTCATCAAAGGATGTTAAAAAGTAATAAACAATTCGCTGAAAGTTAAGTGCATGCAGATAGAAAGATCAAATTGGCTTCACATGGTGCCATACAACATGAATGATAATTTTTTTTTAAACAATCTTGGTTTATATTGATCCCTGTTGGAGCAAGACAGACTGTTATTTAAATAAAAGCTAAAATTCAAAAGAAACATTGTGTAATAAGTATCAGTGTTTCTCCATCAATGTAAGTCAAAAAAACACATCAAGTGAAAAAGTAACTGTCTCTTCTTCTCCATCTTCTATATCCCCGAGATCAACATTACTTTACTGTGCTCACAGCTCATTGCCTCTGAAATGAATGCGGTGTAATCTTATGTTCTTACTGACATTTTTTAATGTAACTATCTAATAGTGATGGCACTATAAATAAAATGTATATGGTTTATAGTGTGTCTATTGGTAACAGAACATACAGTATGTAGAGTGCAGTTGTGGCGCCTCCCCCCCCTTCTCAATTTTTCAGATAGAGATTTTTTTAATAAAACTTCACTAAGTGTGTTTAAATATATAATAATGTTTAATATATAAAATCAGAACCATTATTACAGTATGTTAATTTCCCCTCTCTCGTCTGGGGTACTCAGAAAAGCACCCCAGTAAGTGCAGCAGCCAACCAATCGCTGACCGTTGCTACCCAAAAACTATGCAAGCAAAACATAAATTCAGCCAATCAGTGCCCTCACATCTGATGGCCAAGGGGCGACAAATTCAGCACCCAAGGCAGTTTGTGCGTGGGAATACTTTGACTTCTGCAGACTCTGGACTTCAGTCCCAGTTTATACTGTATAAACTATGTCCAGGACAAGGTGTTTGGAAGTTTTGATTCATAGTTTAATTAAGCGCTTTGAGCACCAGGAAAAACGCTATAAGATGTATTATTTTTATTATAGTTAACCACACTGAAGATTATGGAGGTATACCACACTACACATCTAATTACATCTAATTAAATAACTACATCGAGCCAATTTTGATGATTTTTGGAGGAGTTGTTTGTAAGGTCAGTTCTAGTCAGTCAGCAGCCTTTGTAAGCCTATCTACAACCAGTCAGTGAATCTCCCTCCAGAGCCAGTCAGATACTTTGAATCTGTTGATTAGGCTTCTCATATTTTTAAGCCTTAATTTGTCCCCCCCCCCAACATGGTTTAGTTACATTTTAATTACATTTCACTGGGTTATTTAGTGGGAATGCTGACACAGCATTCCAACTATCTGTTATGCTACGCACAAAATTCTTTATTATTCCGCCGGGTTATTTTGCGCCACTTCTCCTCCCGCATTGAACATCGCAGAAACTCCGTTCAAACATCAAAACGTTCAGCTCGGTCGGGAATCGATGGCTATTACTTTTATCATTCATAACTTTCATAATTCCAGAGATACATCCCATAATACATCACATTTTTAACATGGAAGTCAATGGAGAAATCTTCAGAATTCAACAATCTTCAACTGCTAACTGTTCATTCATACTTTCACTCAGAAACCTCATTCCAACTTTAAAATGTTACACATCTTTCTGACATTATTCGTGTAACACAACTTTTAAATCTGATTCGTACTTTTAGAGATATTAAACATTGTTCAGACCTTGGTAAAGAGGCCTTCTTCAGATTTTAGAGTGCGTGATGTCAGTGGAGGACAGATTTAATTTTGCCTTCATATTTTCTTTTAAATCATCATGGAAACCTTTGATCTCTGGACACGTCGTTAGCTCAAATATAAACACCTGTGTCATGGAACACGATGATGTCATAACTCCAACTGACATGCTCAGAGCAGCAGACTTCAGATAATGGTTAACACAGCTCAACGTCAATTATGGGGTGTCATCATATGCCGTTTCCATCGCATCCCTCGCCATAAAACAAGATGTCGCTGTAACTCCAATGGACACGGTCCGATCGTCCCCCAAACTTTGCTTGTATTTCACCGGTCCATGCCTCAACAGCTCTACGCCAAATCTGAGATCTCACCATAGGCTGTTGCCATGGAAACGCATCCCTCGCCAATAAAACACTATGTTGTCGTGATACAATTGGTCTAAAACAGCACGAGACTTCAGATAATGGTTAATGGTCCGGCCCTCAACAGCTCTTTTTCAATTATGGGGTGTCATCATATGCCGTTTCCATGGAAACGCATCCCTCGCCATGCAACACGATGTCGCTGTAACTCCAATGGACACGGTCCGATCGTCCCCAAACTTCGCTTGTATATCACCGGTCCATGCCTCAACAGCTCTACGCCAAATCTGAGATCTCACCATAGGCTGTTGCCATGGCAACGCATCCCTTGCCGTAAAACACAATATTACTATAACTCCTATGAAAATGGTCCAAAAGTGCTCAAACTTCATGTGTGCTAACAGTCCAGCCGTAGAGACATCTACGTGACAGTTTTGAAATTTCTTCAAATGCCGTTGCCATGGCAACACAATGCTCGCTATGAAACACGGTTTTGTGAAAATGCTCCGAACGGCCCAAAACTTCACAGGTTTGGTAACGATGCAGCCATCAAAACATCTAAGCGTATTATGGGGTGTCATCAAATACCGTTGCCATGGCGACAGATCATTCGTCATCAAGTTAGTTCAATAGTTTGCAGTTCAAATATTCTGCTGCTTTTCCAAGCTTTTTTACTTTCTTTTCTTCTCTTATCACACATTCAAGCCCCCAGTGTTCATGTATCATTTCAATCTAAATTCTTCACTTTCTTCTTACACATTACATTTCAGAATAGCAATTCAGCATCAGCTTTTCAGCATAAAGCATTCCCACTAGCAATTTCTTCAGGAATTGCATTCTCTAGTTAGTGTTTAATGCACCCTTGGACGAAGGAACAATCTACTAATTTACACTACACCTTAACTTTAGTTGGGTTAATGAACACTAAAATACATCATTAACTGTAGTGGAATTGTGTTTGTTGTATGTCAGTTTGTGTATCTCCTGTTAAGCCCTGAGCCTGTTTTTCAGGTCTCAGGCTCGAAAATGACATTCCCAGAACAAATGACCATATCTTCCCTTCTAAAAGGGTTAAATTAATAATCTCTTTTCTCAAAGTAATGATAAACCTGTGAGTTGGATGTAGAAAAGTCAGAATCAATATAGATGTTTTTTATTTTAAAGAAAATTCAGATTTTACATAGTAAAAAACTGTAAATTATAGTGTCCGTCCAAAAATTCTTTTTTACTTATAGTGAAAACCACCCTTGGATGATGGGTTAGTAGACTAAAAGCTTTAGGAATCCAAAGTACAACATATAATAAGTACCCTGTATCAAGATTGATGCAAAACAAGTTACATTTGACCTTGTTAGAGAGATTTAGCAAAAAGAAACCACTTCTGGGGTCATTTGGGTGGATTTTCCATATCTCTGGCCCCCCTTGCTCGATTTTGATGGTTGACACCTCTTTCTGACCATTAGAGCCAATAGAATCGAAGGGGGAGTCCCCCACACACACACGTTGTGAAGAGAAAAGGTGGGGGCTTCGCGCATGTAATTTAGCATTTTGAAAAAAAAAAAAAAATTATCAGTTAGATGAGTTTCTTCCCGTTACATGGATATAAAACATTCATAGTTTTATTAAATGAACATGCCCTCAGACACTGTTTCCTGCAAGATGTTGCGGCAGTACCTCGATACCGGGGTCTCTCGGGCTTAACAGGATATTGCATGACTTTGTTATTGCTCAAAGCATATGATTTGGATTTCTGATGTGTTCTGTTGGGACACCAAATACAGGAATCAGTCCAATGCAATGTAAGACTCTCCAGATGTGTGATGATGATGATGATGATGATAGTGGATTACAATGTGCTGTTAATTTGTTCCATTTCACTCACTGCTACTTCAGGGACAGGATATTAAGCCCAAAACAAACAAAGTCAACACAAAATCGTGTTGAGTTAAAAGTTATGTTATAAGTAATCTTATTTTTTCCCCCTCAGCTATCGTCTCCCCACTGCTTTGGTCCCTGCCTACTACAACGTCACCCTTTGGCCTCGGTTCATCTGTGACCCGATAACTGGCCTCTACATCTTTACAGGTGATGAACATTACTAAAACCAATTATTGTGCTTGTGTAGCTGAGGTTTCTGTTTTCTTCTTTTACAATGACCTTTAAAATAAAGCAGCCATTTAGAAGCCAGTGGTTGGTGTTGGCCCACTGCAGGTTACAGGTCAGTGGTTATCCATTGTTGTAGCACCCCATTATTCTGACATCCTGTGATACACAAAACAAGCACACATAGCCCAAAAGGCCTTTTGCTCTTAAGATACACAATTTACAGAGGTGGGAACAGTACTCAGTTCTTGTACTTAAGTAAAAGTAGAAATATATCAGAGTGTAGTAATACTCTGTAAAAGTCCTGCATTCAAAATGTTACAAAGTAAAAGTACAAAAGTATTAGCATCAAAATAGTACCAAAGGGACAACTACTCAGAAGGAAGATTGACTCATTTCAGAATAATATACAGATGTAGCACCTCATTTCGGACAGTTTAAAATGCGAGGGCCGTGGGCGGCACGGGCTCTGCCCTCGCTCAAAGGACAACCTCCAGCGTGACTTGAGACCGCCCCCTTGATTAATAAATGTAATTATAATGAAGCCAGCTGCAATGGATCATTGATCCACCAGGGGGTGCAGTGGGGTTCCACACTGGAGCTCATGTGAAATAAACTCTACGGTAGATTTAAGGACAGAGGGTGTCGTTTTTCTCATACTGATATTCTGAACAAACTGTGCTGTTGTATTTGCTGTAAAGTGTCTTTACTGTAGGGTATTTTATTATATGTACAGCACTTTGGCTCGACCAAAAATCGTTTAAAAATGTGCTATATAAATAAAACTTGATTTGATTTGATTTGATTTATGTCTGGTACTACTGTATAGCGGATCTTTGTTAAGACCATATGTCACGGATAGGATCATACTCTGTGCTAAATAAGAGACATGTAATCATTTACAAAACATCACCATGTTTTTATTTAACAAAATAATGTTGTTTAGTCCACAACTACTGTACAAAAAACATCAGGAAGCCCGCCGGCTCGAAAAACGAACGGGAGGAAATGCAGCCCGGCTCTCGATTTTTAATCCTAATTTAATCATCATCTTCACCACGATCATTTATGTTTATGTTCGCCGAATTGACATGAAGGCACTGACAAATATGAATATACTTTAGTCAACTTCATTAAAACGTTATTAACATGCCTAAACTCAGTAATTCACAAAAAATATTTATACTTTAATGGAGCCTCGTCAGGCAGATCAGGATCCCGACAGGTGTTATTTTCCCCATAATGACCAAGTCGCTGCACATTATCCCGCTTATTACATGGCCACATTCTCAACAAAGTACCGACCGACATGACTCCCAATATTAATTGAAATGCTTTTATGGATTTAGAAAATGTTTTTATTGATTTAAAAAATAGTTGTATGTATTGATTTAAATTGACATGCATCCGCTAAGAAAAATAGTCCATTGTTACCGTTTTTTAAACAGTCTGAATGAAACGGCAGCTCTCAGCTGTGTGTTTACACACCTAATGGCCCATCAGCCACAGCTCTCTCCCCCACCTGATCTTTCTTCTCCAGCAGTTAAAGGTGGGGTAGGTAAGTTTGAGAAACCCGCTCGAGATACACTTTTTGTTATATTCCATGGAATGCTCTTAACATCCCGATAGCAATAAATATCTTAAGTGCTTTGACAAAAAATCCATAAAAAAATGTCATCTGTGGAAGCCGTAGTACTGTAAAAAGCACGACCAATCATTTTAGCCGGCCTGGCTAAAATAACTGGATGGCCTACCTGCCTGTCAGCCTTCCATCGGGGCACAAACTTATCTCGTGCCCTCATTGGTCATGTGCGTTCGTGTGTGTTGGAGGAGGGGCTCTATAAGGAAGTGGCAGATTTTTTCCGGCTGTGTATTTTCAAATTCTAGCGATCTCGAGCTGGTTTCTCCAAAATTACCTACCCCACCTTTAAGTTAACTGTAGGTTACTCTGAGTGACAAGCTTACAGTTAGTGAAGTAACACTTTTTTTTTTGTGAGTCACGACCTGGCTGTTTCATTCTAACATAACGCTCCAAATGTTACTGAGTCCACTCGGACTTCAATACAGCTACACCATTGTTTGGTTTCCATGGTAGCGCGTCTCTTTAGTAGCGCGCACTCTTTTCCTGTAAATTACAGGTCCAGCCAGGCAAACCAGTGCACTTCTCTTTCCTGCACTACTGTGACAGACCATGGGGCTGGGTCAGCCACTAACATATTCATATTTCTCTTCTCAAAAAGAAAAATATGAACGTTAGTTTTTAACTGAAATGATCAAATAAAGTCAAAATGTCACAGTGTTTACAAACATTGACCATACCGTTCACCAGCCCCCACCCCCCTATGCCTACTGTATGTTGAGTATACTCTTTGTTTAAAACTAATTGGCCATCGGAATGTGTGTGTCCCAACCCCCCCCTGTGATATCTCTTCTCCAGCAGTCTGTAGTTTTGTGTTCGCATATTTATGCTGTCGCAGTTCCTGTTGTTTCTATCGCGCATTGCCGGTATGAAAGGGTCTGTGCCGGAAATATCAAACATTTAATAAAAGTGAAAAACAATGAACAAGACTTAACGTATTAATAATAATTAATTATATTTATTCCGTTTGGATGTACGATTTTTGACTTTGTTTAGAGCAGTGATCTTCTCTTCCTCTCTGCAGCAGAGAGCTAAGCGCTGTCAGACCGGACCTAACCCTAACCCTGAAAAGTATTATCATCTGAAAGTAAAATGAATCATTATGTCATTAGTATTAAATACATACATATAAGTATTTTTACAACTTGTATTTAGAAATACTCCGTTGTAATTATTGATGCATAAATGTGTTCATCCATTCAATGTGGCATCTGCTATAATTGGGTTAATGTATGATATTACTTAATAATACAATACATTATAATATATGATATCATAATTACATTTTTAATTGTATTCATTTCTTATTTCATAGAAACTTATCAAACATGTAATTAAAGAATGGTGATATACACAGTGATAGATATTAAGGACTAACGTTTATAATAAATAGCCTAGTATTTATCCATATTCATAATAATATTTATATATTCAACAACCATTTTTAATGTAAAAGGTTCATAAAATAAAAACACAACAGTGTCATTGCAAGTGACACTCAGTTAGTTGACTTTTATGTTCAACTGCTAAATTCGTTACTGATAAAAAAGGGCTTCTACCTAATTACCTTAAATAAACTCACTAATTAATGAAACCAGTTCAATACGCATTATTCTTATTCTTATCATTCTTTATGAGCGCAGAAATAGTCTTAAAATCAGACCTGTTTTTTAAATGAAATCTGACGGCAGGCAGGCAGCTCTGATCACCTAATGATAAATGCGCCACACCTAATCGCCGGCCATTCAGCCACAGCTCTATACAAATCAAACTGTAGACGGTGTGAAAGCAAATCATTTTTTTAATTGTTTTAAATAATGGTCGGAATGTGACCTTCTGAATTACCGTGGGATAGCACATTCTAAACTAAAATGTTCAATCAATAAAGTAACATCTTATCTTATCTCATCTTAATAATATCTTCATATTAATAATAATAATAAATCATACAGTATGTGTCCGAAAGGGAGCAGGAGGAAGCAAACACAAAAATATACAAAAGATATACTGCATATTAAAGCAAACGATTGTAAAGGTAAAAGTATGAGCATAACAAATAAAGAAGTGTAATGTAAACATTTACATTATTATTATGATTATTTAATATATAAAGACTATATATTATTGAATTACAAGATTAGATATACTTTATTTGATCTAAAATATTGATGTGTTCAAATGCTCTTCAAAACACAACTGAAAGTCCATGAAAAGTTGTCTTTCTGTATTTTTGAATGAAGCGCCATCTCCTGGTTAAATCCTGAAATTGAAAATCTGGCAACGCCCTCTTGGAAAATAGTGGGAGGGCTTAACATTCCCAGATGCTGGTTTTAGGCAGGTCTTAGGCAGGAAGCTGTAAGCTGGAGTCCTATCTGGAGTGCTACATCTGTATATCATGTGATGTTATTTTTGAAAAATATGGTGCTGTGGATTGGCTGCCGTGTCACGAGCTCCTCTTATTTGTATTAGGGTTCTTTCAATGTTTACTTTAACCTGTTAACCCCCGAGCCTGTTTTTCAGGCCTCAGGCTCGAAAATGACATTCCCAGAACAATTGACTATATCTTCACTTCTAAAAGTGGTAAATTAATAATCTTTTTTCTCAAAGTAATGATATACCTGTGAGTTGGATGTAGAAAAGTCAGAATCAATATAGATTTTTTTTATTTTAAAGTAAATTCAGATTGAACATAGTAGAAAAATGTAAATTATAGTGTCCGTCCAAAAATAAACATTACTTATAGTGAAAACCACCCTTGAATGATGGGATAGTAGACTTAAAGCTTTAGGAATCCAAACTATAACATATGACAAGTACCCTGTATCAAGATCGATGCAAAACAAGTGACATTTTACCTTTTTAGAGAGATTGAGAAAAAAAAAAACACATCACGAGCATGTATGTCCGCTCTCAGAGTATTTCTCAGAGTGGCAGCGCATGTGTCTGATGGACCAACCCAGTCTCACGGCATTTCGTGTTATAGTCACGACATTTAATCTATTGATTCGTGTTCACCAACACGATTTTCCCCTTTTTTTCGTGTCACACAGAACGATTTTAAAAGCAATGTATTTCTATTGGTAGTGTGTTTCGTGCCTGCAACACGTCTTTTTGTCCGGTCGGGTCTTGGAAGACGAGAAGCTGTGTGGTTCATAAAAACATGTTCTTTACATATGTACAGTCTATGGTTCTTACTCAATATCAAGCCACGACTATTGTTTTTATTTTAAATCGTATAATGTCGGACTTTTTTTGCCGGCAGTGAGGAAAATAAATGGGGCTCAGAGCCTCAGAATACTGAAATCTTTTTTTTTTTTTTTTCCTTCTAATTTGTTATTCTCTT